ACATGAATGATTGTTGGGTACCATTGCTAAATTTCTCCTTTATACCCCAATAGTGGATATAATGCAGCTGTATTAGTATGGGGACCTTCCCATATACTGCATCTCAGGAGGCCTTAGAATTAATAGCAGCAGAAGATATCAAAGGAGCTAGGCACATTCATATGACTTGAAGAGTCAGTGAGATACAGGAAGGCTGTTTGATGTGGCAGGTACTGCAGAGGAGAAGGCTCGCCCACCGACAATGGCTAAACTGAGTGGGGGGACAGAGGGGAGGTAGATGCTAGATGACGACAGGGAGGGGAGTGGAGATAAGGTCTGTGAATGAGTGACAATACTTTGCACATATAGGCTGGAGCAAGGCTACAGAGGGATGGTTCAGAAACAAGGGCAACTTTGAACTGGCTCCTACAGGCATGGAGAGCCTGTGAAGGTGTTGGATATGGTTGTGCTTCTTTGCATGAGAAGGTGGATAGCAGCATTCTCTGTGTGCTGGGCAACCGGGTCTTAAGGATGCCATAGAGAAAGGAGTTATTAAAAACTGTTTAGATTGGACCCTGTGCTAGAGATGAATCAAGCTGGAGAGCCACTTACCTAGGAGTTGTTTTGCAGAGAAGGGGTGTGTGTATTAGAAACATTACTTCAAAAATGAACAGTTCTGAATACTTTGGCTTGATTTGTGGGAGGACGGCTAGGTGCTCTTTTGTCAGACAGGGCAGTGCGTGCGATTTGGGGTATTCTTGGATGGACTGGAGAAGAATGGTTCCAGGAGGAGGCTGGATTATAGGAGGGGAGTGGTTCTGTTAATTCATTTATTTGTTTTTCAGGTTGATGTTCGCAGGGAAAACCTCATTGAGGAAATCAAGAGGCGAACGTGCCAGCCCTAGCCTTCCAGCCAGCCACATCAGCTAGTTTATTGGATTTCAACTGATACGGGGGAAGGGGAAGACTTGTAGAGATTTCCTCTCTAAATGCCAGAGTTCTTGCTCATAACATGTCAGTGGGGGCACAGGGGTCTTTGAAGCCGTATTTATTATTTTATCATGAAATTCCTTTTCCCAGAAGGAGCAGAGATGCTGCTTTGCCTTTTAAAGAACACTGTGCTCCTGGGCGTAGCCAATGAGAGAGCTGGAGAGGATGTTTCCTGAGACACTTTGGAGAATGCCAGCTGTGTGTCTGTAATCATTACTGTTACTGGGCAGAGCTGTGGCGCCCTGGGCCATTGGCAGACACTGAGGATCTTGGTCACAGCTTCATGTTCCTTTCTGTTTGAATAAAGGTTCTGCATGGTGTCACTTCTCTGCCTGGAGGGGAAATGACCTCGTCTCAAAGTGTAAAACATTCTAAGCAAGCTTAATAAATCTTCTGACAGTCCCACACCTGCCTCTTGTGTGACTGTCTTCTGGGATTGCCAGGATTTCAGGGCCTCTGTTACTCTTCCCCCACACTCCCTCAGGACAAGGGCTGGGTGATAAATGTCACTGCTGCTGCTGTTCCATTCCTTGAGTTCCAGGGACCTTTTAAAAAGTGCACTGGGGATGGTATTTTGCAGTGTGCAGTGAAAAGCCTTATCTGGAAACTCCCATTGGAAACTGTAACAATGCTGGTTCTGTCGGGACCCAACTGAGAGTGCCAATTCAGGACAAATTGCGTAAAACAGGGCAGTTACAGCCCAAGGCTGGGGTTTTTTCACCTCTAAGGCAAACCAAACCAGCCAGACTAAGAGGACTTTGGTTTCACCCCACTGGCTAACCACAAGTCACACAAACAATTCCCTTAGACACTCCAGTTTCCCAGTATCACCACCAGTGCCACTCATTATGGGGACAAATGGTTATGAAAACCAATACCCCAGTAAAAGAAAAAAGGTTCTCCTGATCCCCAAGGACCAAGCCACAGACCCAGGTCAATATACAAATCAGATCTTACCCACAAATCATGCTGTTGCCAATCCTTTAGAATCTAAAATCTAAAGGTTTATTCATAAAAGGAAAAAGATATAGATGGGAGCTAGAATTGGTTAAATAGAATCAATTACATACAATAATGGCAAAGTTCTTGGTTCAGGCTTGTAGCAGTGATAAAATAAACTGCAGGCTCAAATCAAGTCTCTGGAGCACATCCACAGCTGGGATGGGTCATTCAGTCCTTTGTGCAGAGCTTCCTTGTAGCAAAGTCCCTCCAGAGGTAAAAGGCAGGATTGAAGACCAGATGGAGAGGAGGCATCAGCCTTTTATAGTCTTTTCCTCTTTGTTCTTATTGTGGAAAATTACAGCCAAATGGAGTTTGGAGTAACATGGGCAAGTTCCTGCATACTTTGCTGAGTTACAAGGTGTATCTGCCTTCTCTCAATGGGTCAGTTGTATAGCTGATGATCCTTAATGGGCCATCAAGCAGGAGCCGGAGCAGGGACATGCTGCTGCTTCTGGGAGCTGCTTGAAGTAAGTGCTGCTCGGAGCCTGCACCCCTGAGCCTCTCCCCACGCTCTGACCCCCCCCTCCAAACCCCTCAATCCCAGCCCAGAGCACCCTCCTGAACCCCAAGCCTCTCATCCCCAGCCCCACCCAAGCCTGCACCCCCAACTGGAGCCTGCACCCCCCTCCCCACACCTCACTCCCTCACCCCAGCCCAGAGCCCCCTCCCACATCCGGAACTTATTTCTGGCCCGACCCCAGAGCCCGCACCCCCAACCAGAGCCCTCACCCCCTCCCACACCCCAACCCCAATTTTGTGAGCATTCATAGCCTGCCATACAATTTCTGTTTCCAGATGTGGCCCTCGGGCCAAAAAATTAGACCACCCCTGCTATAGCCTGTCTAAACCTGAGGCTAGGTCTACACTACGGGGAGAGGGGGAGGTCGACCTAAGATACGCAACTTCAGCTACGTGAATAGCGTCGCTGAAGTTGCATATTTTAGGTTGACTTACCTGGCTGTGAGGATGGCGGCGAGTCGACCGCTGCCGCACCGCCGTCGACTCCGCTTCCGCCTCTTGCCGCGGTGGAGTTCCGGAGTCGACGGCAGAGCCATTGGGGATCGATTTTATCGTGTCTTCACTAGACGCAATAAGTCGATCCCCAATAGATCAATTGCTACCTGCCGATCCGGCGGGTAGTGAAGACGTGCCCTTAGACATTTACGCCCCGTGCATCCCTTCAGGCTTGTAGAACGTGAAATTGTTTACTTCTGAGACCATTCACCTAATCTTTGTCCAAATCCTCTCTCTCAAGATTATTCTGTAAAACAGCTACAATGTTGAGTCTTAACCACTCCCCTTCTTCTGTTTCAAATCCTAATGCTAATTACATGTTTTTGTCCAAGGCTGGAATTTTCAAATTTGTCCAAATCCCATCAAAATTTAGTGGAAGTTGGATACCTAATGATCTGGGCTTTTTGGAAATACCCCAGACTGATTAGAAAGTTGCATGCATTGAAATGTAACCTAAATCACTTTAAAACAAATGTTGCATCTTCAGCAGACTGTCATGATTGTATACTTAAAAGTAAAACTCAAAAGCCCAGATTTTGCTTAAATTAATGAGAAAGCAGCTCCTATTTTTCTTTAAAGGTAAGAGTGGTTACATTTAGCACATTTTTTAAATGTAGGAACTGGCAACTACTTTCCAACGACGACGAAAAAAATTGTAGAGTTGCTACTTTCTCATGCATTTAAATGCGTGCTGAATTATTAAAGTTATGTCAGGAAAACCTGAATTCTTATTAAAGTATCAGTATATGGGAACTTTCACTGAGATAACTGGTAGTGTTACAGAGAGGGTGGGCTAAGGAATAAGGTTCCTAAGCAAATAGAACAGGATCCAACCCTGACATTTTTCTTTGTCACAAAACTTGCACTGACTTAAAAGGGCACCTCTGATTTAATAATACTTAACTTCAAGGTGCTACAACTGATCACTGCAGTTTTCCTTTAAAACTTCCGAACAAACCAAAGCTATGCTGTGCTGGGTTGGGTAGGGCTGGAAGAGGCTATATTAATTCTGTGAGAAAAGAAATGAAGAAACTGTCTTCTCCATGAGCCACTTTCCCTGAAAAATCAGAACTGGGTGGGTTTGACTGGCTCTGGTGTCTGCTTTCTTTTCTGGAGAAGCTGGTTGCGAGTAGGTAGTTGTAAGTTTCTGCAAAAAAAAATTGTTGACTCCTACAGCAAGGGCATCTGAAAGGAGTGGGCTAGAGAGAGGGGGGGAGCATGACACTTTGCTAGCCGTGTTCACACAGGGCAGTGCACAAACCGCCCCAGAACATGTTGCCTTTCTCTGACCCTGCTAGCAAATGTAAGGACATTTCATTATCGTTAAGACAGCGCTGGTTCTTGAGCAGTCTCCATTCCTATTCAGTTCCCTTATGTTATTCTGCATCGTGCCAGCATCAAGCCCTCAAGGTTCGGCAGTAGCTGGGCCTGTGGCTGCCAGGGCATTGGGCTAGTAGTTGGGGGGTTCTGCAGCCATTATTTCTCGTGGTCTTTCTCATTAGTGTGAGTGTCGGCACAGTAAGGAAGCTAATGGGGAGGGAGGGTGGTTCTGTACATAACCATCCTTCAGTGCTCTGGAACAGGAAGAAGTGACAGGTGCTATCGGCCTAGCTGCTGCATGTGGGGGGGATCAGCTGGGGCTCCCGTCCCACCCCTTCCGTGGGGAAACTGCCCGCGTGGCCCCTGACCCCTTGCCTTGCCGGCAGACCTGGCGCGGAAGCCGCTGGGAGCAGCGCCCCTCTCCGCAGGCCCCCTAGGGCTGTAACTTTGTAGCGATGCCCAGAGACGGCGACTTCGCCTCAGCCGCTTCGCCCTGGGTGCCGGAGCGAGGCGCGCCGTCGTCGCCCAGGGCCGAGGCCGAGGCCAGCCCCACCCTGCAGCCCGGGGGCGGGGTGAACCCAGCCAGCGCCCAATGAGCGAGCCTCGATCGGGGCCACTGGAAGCTTCCAGGCCTGGGGAGGGTATAAAGGGGCGGCGGGCGCAGCCGCTGCTGCGAGGGGTTTGGCTGGTGTAGCATGGAGGGCGCGCTGGAGGCGCAGGTGAGCGCCCCGGGCTCCCCCTGCAGGGGCCTGTCTGGTTGCATGGTGGCGCGAGTGAAGGGGCCTGGGCTCTGGTGCCGAGCACGTTGTCCTGGGAACCCTGGGCAGCTCTGGGCGCCTCTTGCTTCCCACCCGAGGGCAGGGGGAACCTCCAGCGTCCTCGGGCAGCGCAGCTCCTTTGGCTGTTGCGGCGCCTTCCTCCGGCACAGGGCTCTTGGAGCGGGGCTCAGCACTTCCCCGGCCCCAGGGGGGCCCGTCCCGTCGGCCGGCCGCGGAGCGAGCTTCGCTGTGAGCGGCTCCTCTAGTAGAGGGCAGGGCGGGGCTGCCGGGACCCTCCTGGCGCGGGGGGCGCCGGCTTGGAGGGGTGTGCGGGGTTGTTGCCATCGCTGCTTTGGGGTAGTCGCTCGAGTGCTCCCCGGTGCTGTCCCTCTTGGCTCCGCAAACTGGCCCTGGGGATGGCGAGTGCCAGGTTCAGGGGGCCGGCGGAGTCTTGCAGCCAGTTTTGCTGCGGGTCTGGCCAAGGGGCCGAACTCCCTCCCTGGAGACTCCCCTAAACAGGCGCTTTGCGGAGAGGTGTCTGCCCCAGGGTCCGGGAGCGTTAATGAACTTGGATCCCCTCTGGGCCCTCTTCTTTCCCCCCCCCCCCCCCCCCGTGGGTCCCAAGAGGCTGGGGTGGCGCCCTTGTCAGCATGGAGGAGCCCGGAGGTTGTGTGCGCCCCGATGTGGGAGACCAGCGAGGCCGTGTCCGGTGATGCCCGTCCCCTGCGGAGGAGCAGGGGAGTAGATGGAACTCCAGGAAGAGGTGGGGTGGGGCCTTGGGGGAAGGGTGGGGTCTGGAAATCGGCGCCTGTGCTACTGATCCCTCAAAGGCTTGGAGCCTCCAAACAATCAGAGATAAATTAATTTAACTCTCCCCAGAATTTAGCTACAAATTTTGGTTTTCATTACGTATAAATGTCAGTCTGTTAAGGCTGCCCCGGCACGATCTGTTGTACGTTGATAGTTCTGGCACACCCACTGCCTGTTCTGACTGACACCCATTTCCCCGACTGCTCAGCTACCACTCCGTTCAGCTGGCTGTTGCAGCCAGACCATGTTTCTCCTCAAGAGATGCAAGTTGCTTAGCTTTGGTGGCAGGGTGCTGCATTCCCAGATTAATGGGAAAAAAACATCTTCATAAGACACTCTTTTAGAGCCCCATAATGACAACCCAAACTGGGGAGGAAGCCCATCTTTAAAAGGGGAGGGGGAAGGTGACTTAAAATCTTAACATGCATTATGGCCATCTCTGCCTTTTCATGGCTGTGTTAAGCCCCTGTGAGGTGCCCTGGTATGTTGGATTCTGTAGGCAGGGAGCATTGTTGCTGGTTTAGAGAACTAGAGAGTTTAGGGCCAATCGCTTTCCTGCTGTCTAATCTCTACCTTCTGGAAGGATTTTTCCTGCTTTAGAAAAACAGTACAACTAAATATGTACTAGCTGTAGAAACTAAAGTTGAGGCTTGAGAGCAGTCTCTAAAATGCTTGCTTACATTGGAAAGCTGCCCTGTATTAATGTAAAGGGTGACTGTTAACCCAATCTAGTTAGACTAGTGCAGACCCCTGTGTGGATGCACTTATTTTAATGCAATTTAAACTGACTTCTAATCACCTTAAGCTAAATCAAAACATACTTGTTTTGAAACCAGAATAAGAGCCTCTACACCAGGGTTTGCACCAGTTTAATTAAAGTGGGTTTAAAAAAAAAAAAAAACTTGAGTGAAACTGATGCAATGGTCCCATGTAGGAAAGGTTTTAAGAACTCCTTGTTTTATGGTATCTCCATACCCAGGAAAGATGCTGATGTCTGTTTGGGTGGGGTATGGGAGCTGCCACTTTACCAATACTTCTCCAGTCTGTTCTCTCCAGCTGAGTTGCAATTTAAGTCTTATAAAATGCAGCTTCTAATTGGAGCGAGTGAGTCTCACAGCAGTATGGTATTCTCTCAGGACATACATCTGGAATAGGACGCCAATCTTAGCATCAGTCTGTTGAGTTGGTGGCTGTCTGACTGCTTGCTACACCTTTTTATGTATTACTCTTTAGTTTTTCTCTAATACTGAGGCGTTTCTCTTGAAAACCTTCTGCAACCTGGGAGCTTCATAGGTCCTCATCACCATGGAGTGGGTGGGAGTGAGCTGATGAGGCTCCCTGCAACATGGGATCTACCATGGCTCCATTTAATCAGACTAGGTAGGTGAACCTTGACTGAGTAGAGCCACTGGAGGTCTCTGTAATGTAAGGAGTCTTGTCACATGTTCTCTGACCCTGGAGAATAAGAAAGCACAGTCTAAAGTTTTACATACCACTTGATAGTTGTTTTTGGAGGAGGGTTGTAAATGGGTGTCCGTCTACTGGTGGGATGGGTCACTGCTAACTCGCTTCCTTTGAAGGCCTCAGATGTGAGGTCAGAAATAACCACTGGGACCTTGGACAAAGTGTCTGTCTGGTTCCTTGACAGATGTGGAGTGATGCTGTCAATCAGAACAATAAAACAGCCCTGTTGGCCTGGGTGAAGGAGACTGGCATCCAACTGGTACAGGTCAATGGTCAGAGGAAGTATGGAGGCCCTCCCTCAGGTATGTAGACAGCTTTTTCAGTTGCTTTAGGCATAGAAATACAGTCACTCTACTGGTTCCAAACTGCTGAGTCCATTCACAGCTCCGTAGCGGGTAGCAATGAATGGAAAACCTAGATAAGTTTCCTGATGAGGAAGTGTGGTAATTTGGGGGCATCTGTACAATGTAAGAATTTTCATTGATATTGTGAAGCTGTTGCTATGAAAACTAGTATCACAAGTAAGTGTGTGTGTATTCCACCTCTGCTGGCAATGAATTGTCATGTCTCTGCCAGACCAGGGACAATGTTGGGTTATTCGAACGACTTACCCAGGGTGAAGCACATTGGGACACATCCACAGTACAAACTCTTGCCAGTGCAAATTACATAGGCATAAAGCTGGTGAAGTTAGCATATCGCCTGTGCACTTGTATGCTTGGCTCCTTGCATTGGTGTTCTGCACGCTCACTAGGTGTGCCTATAACGATATGCAGTGGGTAAGTATCCTGGTGTGCAACTCACTGCCATCCAGCTGTGTTTTGGCAGTGCATGGAGGAGCAGAAACAAGTTGCACATGGGTGAGTGGAACTGCAGGGTCAAGTTCCTATCATGCAACTTTCTGCATCTCATAACCTCTCTACCCCATAATTTTTGCTCCTGTTTTGAAAGTCCTATGAACCCAGGCAGGGCTTGTCACTGTTGGCCATCTCTGATAGAAGCATGGAGTCTGTGCAGCTCTGCACTATTATCATGAGCGTTGCAAGCACAGGATACACAATATTTTTGATATTTGTAGAGCCACAAGAAGTGTTGAGGGGTGTATTGGGGTGCTATGATGAAGCTCTCCATGGACTGCAAAGGGGGGCAAGCCTGTGTTTGAACATGTAGGCCCACAAGAGTCTATAGGGATTTTTGCTGCTGGAGAAGCTCCATTATATCCTGATAAATCTGTCGTCTTTTCCTGCTGGGACTCCTGGATCTTTCTCCTGTCCACTCTATCCTTCACCATACAGTCTGCAGTATTCAACCTCCAGGTCCTTTGTTCACAATCTGATACAGCTCTTGCTTGCAGGATCTTGCTCAGCATGTCATCTCAAGTCGTCCTCTTTCACCACCTTATCTGGTTCAGGTGTTCTGCATGTGTGAAGGGGGAACCCCTCAAGCCCATAACAGCTACAGACAAAGGTGACATGGTGGGTATGCGGAGTCACATGCCCCATTTCTGCAAGCACCGAGCAGGGCCACTCCTAGACATTGTGGTGCCCTATGCCACCCCTCCACAGGGGGTGGCCCCAGGCCTCCGTGGGGGGGTGGGGTGGGGCTGCGCCCAAGGTCTTTGGGTGCAGGGGGAAAACCGCCCCCCCAGCACGAACCGGCAGAGTGGGTTGGGGCTGGATCGTTCCACTTCCTGCCGCCCAGTGATTGCAGGGCGGACCTGACCCCGCACTCACAGCGTGGCGGGAAGTGGAGTGACCTGGCCTCAGCCCGCTCCCCGGGCTCCCAGACTTGGAGGGCAGGGAGGAACTACCCCCCCAGCACTCACCGGTGGCATGGCTGGGAGCAGGCTGGGTTGCTCCACTTCCTGCTGCCCAGTGAGTGCAGGGCACGCCCGACCCCTGCTGCAGTCCCCCAGCATGTAGCTTGGGAAGGGGTGGAGTGGGTGCAGGGCTGGGGGTGGGGCTGTGGGGAAGGGGTGGAGTGGGAGTGGGGGCAGCTTTCCTGGCCAGGGGATCGGGCTGGCTGCTGGAGCAGCATGCAGCTGCGTAGGGCAACGTGGTGCCCCAAATTTCCTGATGCCCTACGTGGCTACGTAGTTTGTGTATGAGTAAGGATGGCTCTGGCGCCGAGCTGCGCTTGCTCTTCTTGTCCTGCCAGTGGGTCAAGAGGGGTCTGTCCTGCTGCTGTGCCTCTCCTTGGCATGTTTCTGGCTCACTCAGCCCCTCTCCCTGGCAGCTGGGCCCAGGCAGGGAGCAGAGGGGGCAGGATGGAGCCACTTTGCACACTGGGTGAAGGTGGCTGCCTCTGTGCAGCGTGGCTGCTGCCTGGGAAAGCCCAGCTGTGGAGGCAGCAGCAGCCTAGGACTGGCTGCTGGAGACAGGGGGCAAGCGAGTAAGAGGTGCCCCCCTGCAAGCCTATTTCCAGCTTGGCCCCTGTCCCTGGCAGCTGGGCCAAGGTGGGAGTGGAGGAGGTGGGCTGCTACTGCTTCCCCAGCCAGGCGCTTGCTCAGGCAGCCATTGCTCTGCAGCTACCCTGAGCAGCCACCCTCAGCCAGTGGGAGAAGCGGCTCGGTCTCAGCCCCTCTCTTCCCAGCCTGGGTCCAGCTGCTGGGGACAGAGGCTGAGTGAGCAGGAAATATGCCTGGGGGGAGGAGGGGTGGAGAGAGGTGCAGTGGGAAAAGGACAGTGCCCCCCACCTGCAGGTAACTCTTGTGGGGAGAGTGTGGTGGCCCTGGACTGGGCTCAGGATTGGGGGGGTGCAGGGGTTTGCTGGGGAAGATATTGGGCACTTCCTCTGCTCACCCTGAGTTTGGGGCATTGCCTGCAACCCTCCCCCTGCTGAGGTGTCCACAAGGGTACAGGAGCTCTCGGAAGACTGTGGTGCTGTGAGTTTCCCAAGGCAATGGGCCCAGCCCTCCAGGAGCTGGTGGGATTGGCTGTCCTGGCCCAGGGACATGGGGCTGCAAGGTTCCTCCCAGAGGTGACACATAGGATGCTTATGTCAATCCCCAACCCACCCCTCCCCCCCCCCCCCCGTATGAGCAGGTACAAGTCCTGTCTGGCTACAGATAAAACCAGATTGACCGTTGGCCTCCCTGGCTTCTGACATACCTGACTCAGTTCCTTCGCTTTCACATGGCACTGCTGCTGATCCCTGTCATTCTCATTGTCCTGTGCTACCTGCTCATAGGTGTCCATGTTTCTACAGCTGGATTGGAGCTATGCCTGCACAGCCTTTTCTCCCCACAGGCACAGGAGTTCCGATATCTCCTGTCCACTCCAGGCTGGAGCGTGGCTGGAGCGTATGACCAGCCGGGCAGCTGCACACAGCAATCTGCTAGGTGTGCTTGCCAAGCTGGACAGTCAGGAAAAGGCATTTAAAAATTTTGTGGGACTTCAAAGGTGGGGGTGGCTTCTGGTCTCTGAGTCCTGGGCAGTGGAGATGACAGTTGAATGTGTCAGGCATTGTGGGACAGCTGCTGGAGGACTGTTAGGGTCTACATAGGTAATGCAGGGTCTACACTCGCACTGTCACCCTCTGTATGTCAACCATGGCTCAGTGCTGCTCGGGGAGCTGATATTACTATGTTGGTGTAATGGAGACCTTGCATTGGTGGGAGACCAGTTTACACATACACGCACAACTAGGTTGATGCAAGGCAGCTTATGTTGACTGAACTTTGTAATGTAGACCAGGCCTGGGTGTGCTCCAGCTATGAGAAGATACGCCCACCTCTCTCTGAAGGGATGGGGGAATGGCAGGAGTTGAAAGTTGTCAAACACAGAACAAAGAGGAGGTGTTGGTGGGATGTATAAACTAGGAAATATCAGGCATAAATGTACAGGCGATATGTTGGGCAGGAGGGGAGGGAGGGTGTGGATCAACCAAGGACCGAGAAGGCAAGCTGGGCTGGAAGTCGCCATGCAGGAGAAGCAGTCCAGTGTGTAGAAGTCTGATGAGGCCAGGGACCCTGCTTAGCTACCTGAACAGAGTTGGTCTGCCAAGGGCAGGGTGAGCTAGTGAGGGGTGTTGCAGTTAGGAGGTTTTCTAAATGATCTGTAATCTGAGGCATGGTATATGCTACTGTTAGGTCAGCAAAGAGTCCTGTGTCCTTATAGACTAACAGACGTATTGGAGCATGAGCTTTCGTGGGTGAATACCCACTTCGTCGGATGCATGTAGTTAGGTCGACATTAGGCAGCTTACATCAACCTAATTATGTCAGTGTCTACACTGCAGCCTTGTCCCACCAATGTGAGTACCCCACTACACCAATATAATTCCTCCACTGCCACGAGAGGTGTAGGGTTTATGTTGGTGTAGTTAGGGCGACAGTGTCTGTGTAGACACTGCGTTCCGTACATAAGCTGTTGGCTCTTGTCAATTGACAAGAAAGCTGGGCAGCTAGAGCCCAACTGCCTCTTACTCCCCAGAGAGATGGGCAGCTGGACCCTACTCCCGGCCGGGAATGTTGGCTGTCTGGCTGTCTTGTCAATTTTATGGCTCTGGAGCCAGGATGTGAGAAACCCCAGGTGGTTTTCCCCTGCTCCTGGCAAGGAATGGGGAGGCAATTGGGGCAGAGGGGGACCTCAGGCTCCTTCAGGGAGCTGCCAGCAAAATGGAGAGACTAGGGTCTCAGCTCCCCACACTGCCCCTTTTAGGTCAGTGGAAGCGCTTCTGGTGAGGATGTGCACCACCAACCCAAGGAGAGTAGTGTAGACATGCACCACCACAGTAATTACTATGGTGGTTGTAAGTCACCCTAAGTCAACCTCTATTAGGTCATGTCTACACTATAAACTGGAGTAATTTTCTCTATTAAAGATCAAGGATGTGTTAGACTTCTGTGCAAAGTCTGTATGTGTTAAGCATTCACACCTACCACTTGAGCCCTCAGAGGTACCGAAAAGACTCCTGCTTAGGGCCCTACCAAATTCACAAGTGTGAAATATGCATCATAGACCATGAAATCTGGTCTTCCCTGTGAAATCTGTCCATTGTAGAGGGGGGGGTCACAGTATTGCCACCCTTACTTCTGTGCTGCCTTCAGAGCTGGGCGGCCAGAGAGCAGTGGCTTCTGGGCAGGCACCCAGCTCGGAAGGAAGCGCCACAGCCAGCAGTAGCACAGAAGTGAGGTTGCCGTGGTATGAGGGGGGTTGTCACTTTTTGTGGGGGCAGGGCTGGTCTTACAGGTGGGTTATATGGGCAACCGCCCAGGGTGATGTGGTTGGGGGGCACTGTGGTCACCCTGCTCCACACAGCCAACCCAATGCCCCCTTAATCTCTGAACCCTGGCCCAGAGCTGGGGGGCCTCAGCTGGAGGCTTGTGTGAGGGGAGCAGGGTGGATTGCTTTAAATCGAGGCCTTTGAAGATCACTGATCCTCAAGTCACCAAGTGAAAGCCTCTGTTTAAATACTGATTTTAATTAACTTTTCCATTTGTGCTTCAGTTCTTTTCTAAAGAAAGGTGCTGTCTTATTGGTTGGTGTACCCATTAAAACATGTTGCTTTATGACTAAGTAGAGCCTTGACATCTTTTTGCTACATGTATTTAAGCAACTTTAGAGCTTTATATTTTCAGAGTCTTAATTGTATGTTTTTAGTATGTTAGTGAATGGTAACTGATATATGGCTTACTTACTAGATAATTAACTTTTTGCTCATGATTTGTCAAGCTCCATTAGGATGGTAACTGGAATTTAATTAAACACAACAGCATATAATTTTTTAAATAAAACATTTAATACAGTACATGACCTATTGTGCCATATTTCTAAAGCAAAATTAGAATCAGGGGAAGACATCTTTCCTCCTATAGAAAAGCAGCCTTTAATGCCAAGTTTTTGATAGCAGCTCATGGATTTAACATTTTTTATTTAAATGTTTTAAGCAATTATTTACTCAGATTTCATTATAAACAGGTTTACTTATAAAAAGTAAAATTTATAATAATTTAAAAAACAAAGTCAAAAAACCTTTTAACATTTTTATCGCCTCTGGATGAGAGGGTTCCCCCTGTCCTCTCCCACTGAGCAGGACGGCCTTGCTTTTTACCCTTTTGGATCTGCTCCAGCCTGTCCTGTGTGCAGAGCTGGTGTCCAAGGCCCATTGCCTACCCAGGATCCTTCTGCAGATAAGGGATAAGCTGAGGCCTGGTTCACTTTGTGCCCTGGGGGCACAGCCTCTTGTCGCACTGAGTTTCAGGGAAGCGCGGTTGTTGGAGACTAGGTGTCTCTCACAATCTTACTGCTTGGCTTTTGTTGTGTATCTGCAGGCTGGATTGGGGAGCCCCCTCCATCTGGCTCAGAGGTATTCATTGGAAAACTCCCTCAGGACATCTATGAAAACAAACTAATTCCTCTCTTCCAAAGCGTGGGCAAGCTGTACGAGTTCCGCCTCATGATGACCTTCAGTGGGCTCAACCGTGGCTTTGCCTATGCCAAGTACAGCAATCGGCGCAGTGCGCAAATAGCTATTGCTGCTCTGAACAACTTTGAGGTGCAGAAGGGCTGCCCCATCATGGTTTGCAGGAGCACTGAGAAGTGTGAGCTGTGTGTGGATGGCCTGTCATCCTCAGTGGAGCAGGGCCAGCTGCGGACACTGTTGCAGGAGGTGACCACGGGGGTCCTGAACATCTCCCTGTATCCCAGCCCCTCCCGGAAGGGGGGACAGCTCGCAGTGCTGAAATACAACTCCCACCGAGCTGCGGCCATGGCCAAGAAAACTCTAGTGGAAGGTACTCAACCTCTGTGGGGAGGAGCGGGCCAGGGCAAGAGGAGTCAGAATGGCAGGGGCGTTGCAGATCCCACAAGTGGCAGTGGCTTCTCTGGGCACTAGTCTGGGAGTAGTGGGTGCATGGATCTTTTGGTCTACTGACATCTCTTGTCCTGACAGGCTGGTATCGCCTTAAAATGGCAACACTGGTTGCCGTCTTGTCCCTTTCCATGTCCATTTGGATGTTGCTTTTGTTTGACAGTAGATTGCCCCAGCTATCCTGGGGTATAAATCACCAGGGCAGAAAGGAGAGCTTGAAAATGACAGCAGAGCTGTCGCTGGTCCCTCAGGCTAGATGAGTTTGGGGGTGGAGTTTTCTCTAGGTTAGGCCTATATCTGGTAACCTGTAGCCATTGTCAGTGTAAACCCAACCCAGAACTGCAGAGAATTATCAGTAGGATCTCACTGTCTTGTATCCAATACCTTTGTGTGTGGAGGAATCTGTGTGCATTTTTACTCCCTCTTGCTTTCTTGCCTGTATCTTGCATTTACCATCCCCATTCTCAGCACCAGGAGCACCAATGCTCTGAAACTGAGACCTGCTTCCTCTTGTGCATAGGTAACTTGGGCCTGTATGGAGAGGAAATTGAAGTGGATTGGCTGAAAGTAGACATGAAGCAGAAACTCCGTGCCAGCACAGAGAGAACCTTCCCAGAAAGCTTGCAGCCTGGTGGCTGCAAGAGTGGCAGTCCGAGCCAGACGCCTCATGGTGCCGTGACGTGCCCTTTGCCACAGGCATTCTGCGTGTTAGACTACCTGAACGCACTGTGCAAGAAGCAGCGGCTGGGAATCCCGGTGTTTCTGACTAAATGTGTCCAAGCGAACCCTGACGGCTGGCTGCGGTTCTGGTATCAGGTGGTGATTCCAGGTTACCCATCCCCCTTCAGTGGGTTTATGTGGATCAAACCTGATAAGTCTGGCTTGAGTGGACATGACAAGGCCAAGAATGCCATAGCGCTGCAGCTGCTCAAAACTTTGGGTGAGTCCTTGCATGGCTCTGCAGACGTCTTGGGCTTTGTTCCCCTCAGCCTCAACAGCTAGGGCATTAAAAACCCACTGTCTCAGTTATGGGGATGCTGTTGGACCAAATTCAGCCTGGTATCTTGACCCTTTTATGTAGGTTTAGGAAAGAACCATAGAAACATTTGCACATTCTTTCCAGTGGAATGCCAGGGGTTGATAGATGGTCCTCTTCTGCATGCCCAACCCAGCCATTGCAGCTTTGTCCTTATGCGTGAGACACTTCTGGTAGAGTTAGAGACCAGGCATGAACGGCCCAGAGTCTGGCTGAGAGGGAAATTCCGAACGAAAGTGAAATAAGCCAGCGAGGAGGAAGATGAAATTAAACCTTGAAATAATTTTAATCTTGGGAACATCTCCTTGCTTGAGGGATTTCCTGCTCTCCAGGTTAGGGGATGCTAGTATCTCCTGTTGCCTTTGGGATTGCAGGGGTGGGGAAGGGAGCAGGAATCAAAGGAATGTGAAACACCTCCTGCTGGAGGGTAGGTGAAATGCTACCCAGTGGAGTGACTCTGGGTTATGGGCTTCCTGTGCTAGCACTCCAGTGGCTGGTGTGTATTGATGAGAGCTGAAGTTGAAGGAGGAGCTGTGAGCTGCAGGAAAGGCTGGGTAAATGGTCTATTTGGGAAGGGGAGGAGTGGGCTGTCTCTCTGACTGTTCAGCTCTCTGTTGTGTTGCATATGGCTCTAATTCTCTTTTCCTTCCCCAACAGGGTGCCCGGTGGTGTAGGCTGGATGTTTCCACAGAGCCATGCGCTGCCTCTCTGGGGCTTGGTGCATTGGCTTTGCGTTCCTGCGGGGAGGAGGGATGGGGCTGATGTTTTGTAAGCTGGTTTTACAGGACGTGGGCACTGAGCGGAGGCTGCTTCTGGTCCCTGTTTGTCTGTTTTTGTGTTTTCTCTCAGATGTTAGTTTGACACAGATTTGTTTTAGGTTTTTTAAATGTTTTTGTTCTCTGCTCTGGTGTGCCCAGGTGGGTTAACCCAGTGAGATGGGGGGAGGCGGATGTCATGGGGATTCCCACATACCATCATAGAAGGACAGGCTAAACTGTCCAGGCAATGAAGGACCCCATCTGCATAGGTCTTGGGGTCATAGAGGATGCATGCTGGGCAACTGGGTGAGTCTGACCAGGCTCAAAGATTTTTCTTTTGTTCTATTTGGGTTTTATTTGTATTGAAATACACCTGCCAGCGTGGTAGAGAGGGGGATGTACAGTGCTCTTTGGAGAGGGTTTGGGGAACTCCCTGTTATTAGACTGGGCAATTAATGACTGTCCCTGGCATGTACAGCACAGAGCTATATTGTTAGCAAGCCCTGCAGGTGCACTGAGCAAACCTCTGCTTCCCCCACCCCCATCTGGGGGAAGGGCTGCTCTGTTTAAATTCCTGGGCCTAAATCTTGTTCTCTTGCCTTTTTGTTTGACTTATTCTGTTAAAGGTTGTTTACTTTGTTTTAAAAGCTTGGTTGAGTTTCTTATTGTGGCCTTGGCCAGTGAGGTCAGACAACTGTCCTGTGAAGCAAGGAAGAGCATGGGACTAGTGCTGGGTGGGAAATACCCCCTGCAGTGCTGCCTGTTCCACTGGCCTAGGCGCTGTTTGGAAGAATCCAATGTTCTCCATTGGAAGCATCCCTCCTGGGCTGAGTTGTGAGCGGAGGCCTTTCCTGAATCCTGCTAGTGCCTAAGTAGGGGAGGGTCATGGCCGCCATGCTGATGGGAGCTGTTTTTAATGAGGAAATGGTGACCACCTCTCTGAGGCACCAAGGTATTTATGAGCAAGGGACTGTAAGGAAATGGCATTTGGGGTTCTCTGGTCCCCAGTGGCATTGATAGTCCATGCCGCTGTGTATGAATGGTCATTCAGACTCTGACTGAAGGGTTGGGAGGTTCTATTAAAGTAGCCTGAAAGGCAACTGCTGTGTCCTGTCTTCTCTGGAGTATGGTGCCAACAGCCTTTTGGGCCCCCCATATGTGGAATGGATCCTACCTCTGTCACCAGTGTTGGCTTGGGCTCAGGGAGAGGGGTCCTTCTCCACTGCTGGAATGCTGAGTCGCCATCCTGCTGGAGCAGAAGGGCTGGTGGGCTTCCATGTCAGCAGCTACACTCTTCCTTCCCCAAAGCCAGGCCAGTGAGGTCCTGTTCTAGAGTATCCTGTGGTCTAGCCTCTGGCTGCCTAGTCCCTGCCCCCAGCAGCATGAGCTCTGCTCTTCCCACTGCTTTATCTCCAGCACTGGCCTGTCCGCTCACATGGCGTTTGGGCCTTGAAAAGCTCAACCTCATCTCTCCATTAGCTAATGCCTGGGGCTGGCAGGGTTAGGGAGGAGCTGCTGGGGTGTAGGGAGAGTTGCTGGCAGAGGGCAGCCACTGCTGAAGGTAAAGTGGAAGCTTAAATGCTTCAGGGAGCAGTGGCAGGTGCTCAGCCTCACTCCTGGTACTGAGTGTCTCCAGGGTCTGTCTGCTGGTGAGCTGCCCTGGCCTTAAAGAACTTGGGGAGGGGTGGCAGAGGCTCTGCTCCTGAGCTGGAGCTTGCAGGATTTTTGAGAGGGTTTTGGGGGTGACTGCAAAGGCTCAGCTAGGAGTGAAGCACCTGCCTCATGGTGGCTGCTCACGTCCTCTTAAGAAACCAACTGCCCCTTCCTTGGGAGTTCTCAGTTCAGGACAGCTGCACCCATTTCCTCTCCTATGCTCCACTGTGGGCACCTACTTAAGTTCTCTGGCTTCCTGCTGTCACCTCATGGTGGTGGCAGAGACCAGTTTGTGTTCTCCCTCCTGGGGGAGGGGGGTTCCATGCTGCAGTTCCCTGCCTGTACTGTGATATTCCCAGCAAGCCAAACTGCATAAACTGGCCACTGTCTGTGCTTTGCTTCCTCTCCATTGCCTATGCCCAAGTAACTGCCTGCAGTTACACCAAGCTGTTTTTAAGCAAGTACATTTATTCTTAATGTGAAAACATTTGAAAACACTAAAAAAACCTCCATGCAAGGTACAGTGCTTCCTGGAGCTCATGCCCACTCCACCCTAGGCCCCTGCTAGCTGTTACAAATTCAGCATCCACAAATATCCCTTTCCCTCTGTTACTAGTTCATAGCTGTCTGATTCAGAACTAGAGCCCAGACTGGGTTGATTGGCCTTTTTAATGATGCAGCTCAGGCCCTTGATCTCCAGCCTCTGCTACAGGTAAGCAGCAGCCTAGCCTCAGGGCCTATGTCTGGCAGGCTTGGTTTTGTGTAAGGGAATTTGCATTAACCCCTCCAAAGTATTTCCCAGGAAACCCACTTCACATTTACAGTTCCAACCTGTTCATTCTCATCTGCCACCTTGTTCAATCTAGTCCTTGAATCCCGCAGCCTCACATCACATGTTCCCCAGTACAGAAACTCCCTTAATTCAATAGGGTTTCCCAAGGATCTGCTGGCGATTGCCCTCTGTCACATTTACCCTCCCCTCTTTTGTCAAGCTCTTCTGCTGTTATGAGACTAGGGGGTTCCCCCTCTCTTAGTGGTAGGGGGGTGGGTAAGGGATGTACACTGGCATCCTTTGGTGATAAAACAGCCCAGCTGGGACACAGTTTGGCTACTCCATGCTGATGAATGTGCTGTCTATGGTGTGGAAAGCCCTGTTGGAGGGCTTGGTGTAGGAGAGCCAGAGCAGAGTACTCGCCTCTCTGGACTCCCTCCCCTCATCTCTGCCCCAGCTCCTAGTGCCTTCCCATGAGGGTGACCTTTCCCCTATCCTTCCTAGCTGAGTGCTTTCTGGAATGGCTTGTAAACTCTCCATGCAAATGGCTCTTGCAGTTAAGGGACTGTGCTCTCTTTTGTGTGACTCGCTCCTGCAGGGGTGGTGTTGCTTTGTCTCTGTCCCAACCTGTCAGGGTGGTCACAGCTGTCCTCTGCATGAACTGGTGCAGGTAACTGTGTGGTCCCTTGGACCAGTTCTGTCAGAGCAACTCTTCAGTATGTCTCCATGTCTAAGTGCTGTTAGGGCTTGAGATGATGGGAACCACTGGCTTGAATGAACCTGCTCTGGTTCTGTTTTCCACCCTACCATGTGCTTAAAATTCAATGTGCTGGCACCCAAAATCACTGGTCACTCCTGGAATTCCAGGCCTAACTTGACACCTTTTTTTTAATGGGGCCTGACTTTGGACAGGGTGATACCAGGTAACCACACTGAGCCCTTGTACTGCCACCCACCTGTCTGTCACTGGTTTCTGGAAAGGGAGGGAGTAGAAACCCATCCTAGGCCAGGAGAGGAGAGAAAGGGCTGTGTCCAGGCCAGAGCAGCTTGGGACAGTGCGCAAGGCAAGCTGCAGCAGAGCACATACTGGTGGTTTTTCCATGGTGTACAAAGTCTAATTTTCTCCCCGCCCCCTTGTCTTCTCTCATCTCCCCCCTCCCCCCCACCCCCAGTATCAGGAAAGCTACAGCCAATGCAGGAGCAGTCAGCTATATAGTGGAAGGTTGGGCTTTTTTAAGCCCTTACGGGAAGGGCCAGATATGTTGATTTTATGAAGTCAAGGGATGGCTGTTTAGTTTAAATAAGTGCTACCAGAAGGCAGTGTGGCATAGCTCCTGGGGCATGGAACTGGGATTTGGGAGTGGGATTCAAGTCCTCCTTCATCCACTGATTTGCTATGTGAGTGCATTACTTAATCTTTTTCTCCTCCCGCCCTTTGTCCAGTTAGAGCGGGGTGGGCAAACTTTTTGACCTGAGGGCCACATTAGGGTTGCGCAACTGTATGGAGGGCTGTGTAGGGAAGGCTGTGCCTCCCCAAACAGCCTGGTCCCTGCCCCCTATCCACCCCCTCCCACTTCCTGCCCCCTGACTGCGCCCATCAGAACCCCTGACCCATCCAACCCCCCTGCTCCTTGTCCCCTGACTGCCCCCTCCTGGGACCCCTACCCCCTATCCAACCACCCTCTGCTCCTTATCCCCTGACCACCCCCTCCCAGGACCCCCTGCCCCTAACTGCCCCCTGGGATCCCACCCACTTATCCAACCCCCCCTGCTCCCTGTCCACTGACTGGCCTCCTGACCCCTATCCACATACACGCCCCCTGGGATTCTCACTCCCAACCCTCCCTGTTCCCCATCCCCTGACAGCCGCCCCCTCCCCCCGCCCGAACCTTTGCCCCATCCAACCGCTCCCTTACCTGCTCCCCTCTCCCCCGACCACCTTACCAGCAACAGGAGCTCGCAGCCACGACACCAGGCTAGAACCAGCTGCGCTCCCGGGAGCGGTGGGCCAGAGCACGGCAGCGGGGGAGGGGCCGGGCACTAGGCGCCCTGGCCGGGAGCTCGGGCTGGGCAGGATGGTCCCGCGGGCTGTAGTTTGCCCATGTCTGAGTTAGACTGTCACTTGGGCAGAGGGACTGTCCTTTTTGTATATGTTGGGTACAGCACCTGTTCCTGCTTGGGGCTGGGATGAAGTGGGGAATTTAATATTTTGTAGGACTATTGTGTGTGCCTCAGTTTCCCCTGTGTAGTACATATTTAACTGGGGGCAAGATAGCCTGACTCTCTGCCAAGAGTAAACTATGGCTACACTACAGAGCTTACAACGGTGCAGCTGCACCTAGGCAGTGCTGTTAGCGCAAACACTATGCTGCCAGGAGAGAGCTCTCCCATCAACTTAATTACTCCCACCCTCCCACCCACCCACCCGAGCAGGGGTGGCTATGTTGGCAGGAGAAGCTCTCCCACTGACATAGCAATGTCCACACTGGTG